TATTTTATAATTATTAATATTATTTTGAATATTTCATGAATATGTATATATCTTTTCATATAAATGAAATATTATTATATATTATTATATATAATTGAAAATATTAAATATATTAATATTTAATTTATATTTCTAATATAATAAATGTAAAAAATTCTAATACTTAATATAATAATAATTCTAACACTTAACTTAATAATAAGATTATTATTTATTTATATCTTATTTATATCTTATTTTATTTTTAAATTGAAAACTTATATGTAGATGTTAAACTAATAGAAGTTAAATTACTTTTTCATTAAGAATAAAAATTAAATTAATTATTTTAATATTTCTGCTATAGAGTTTTGAAATAATAATTTATTTCATATTTATTTTAAATGATAAATTTAAGAATGATTTCATTGAGTTCTATAGATTTCTATAAATTTTTATAGCAATAATGAAATTATATATAAAGAATATAATATTAAATTAAATCTATTCTACGCATATAAAATATTAATTTTAAATGTTAACATTGTATTTATAAAGGTATTTGGAAATTATTTTACTGTATCAACATAACATTAATATATGTTTGAATATATAAATACATTATATTTTAAGTACAGTAAATATCTTTTTTTCTTTTTGTATCTACATTTCAATCAAATTTTTATTGTATATCAATGTTATAAATAAATATATTTTAAAATAGTTCATAAAAATTTTCCATTATATGAACTTTTAATTTATATAATTATAAATATTTTCAATATAAAATTAATATTTTTGTAATACATAATTGTATTATAAAACTATATAAATATACTTTATTTATAAATTAAAAATAATTTTCAATGTTTATTCCAATAATTTATTTTATATTTGTTCAAATAAAATAGAAGAATTGCATAATAATTAAAGTTTTCAATGGATAAAATAATGTGATTTATGAATATAAGGCACTTAACATTTACATACTTATATAATTTCAATATATTTTACATATACATATCATAAGTAAACATAAAACTACAGTATATGTAATATTATTTAATTTAATGAAAAAGTTTATAAAGTATAAAGTCAATTACATATAATATATATAATAAATACTTTATAGAAATTATGATCTTTATAGTAACATTGAAAGATGAAATAAATACATTGAATATTTTGTTATGAATATTGCAAACAGAGATAAAAATATTTAATTTAAAAATAATAAGTTTTTATGATTTTATATATAATATTAAATTAATATTTAATGATTTTTTCTATTTTTAATATTTTCATAAAGTATTTTCATAAATATGTATATATTGAATATCTTTTACTTAAATTTTTTTTTTTTAATTATAAAATTATTTTATATTATATAAAGTTTCCCTTTCTTTTCTTTCAATATCTTTAAAACATCTTTAAAGACATTCATAACATATCTTTAAAACATTAAAAATTAAAAAAATTAATGCATATGTATTCAATTAAATAAAATGAAAAATATTACGTAATCATAATAAATCACATTATTCTTGACTTTAAAATTATAAAAAATATTGAACTATTGAACTTTTAAGCATTTATATTATTTTTTGTTAAAAAATTTACGTTTCTAATTATTCAAAATAGTAACAAATTTCAGTTCTTTAACAACAATATTAATTAGATTATTAACAAAATGTAAAATATAAAAAAATACATTTTATAGTTAAAAAAATTATAATTATTTTTACCTTTTGCTGATAGAGTATAGGTATTTTTGATTTATTTGCTAAAAATAATCTTTTAAAAGCAATAAAAAGAGATAAGCAACAATATCAGTAGATATTATTATAGATCAAAGAATCTTTATCAGAGACATCTATTTTGCAAAATAGTATTTTCTATCTACAAAGTGTTGCATCTAATTGAACTAGCCATGGCAGCAATAATTTGATTTTTCTTCTGTAGTTTGGATCTTTGGCAATAGGATTATGTTCTAAATATACAGTCTGTAATTTCTTATTAAGAGCTAAGTTCTCTATAGTTATCCATTCCTCAATTTCATTGTTGTTTATCTAAAAAAATAAATATTATATATCAAAAAATATTTAAGTGAATATATATATATATATATATATATATATATAATTTTTTATAATATTTTTACCCAAAACTCTTCTAAATCTTCAAGATGTTCAATATTTTCAATTTTTTTTATTTTATTATTTGCTAAATCAAAGGTTGTTAATTTTGAACAATTTGATAATCCTTCAATACATGATATACCATTTTCAGATAAATATATTTGGTCTAAATTTTTCAATTCTTCTAAATTTTCTATTTTTATAATACGATTACTTTGAAGACTTAATAATTGAAGATTTTGTAAACATCCCAAGTTTTTAATTTTTGTTATTTTATTTTTACCAAGAAATAAATTTGTTAGATTTTCAAGTCCTTCAAGATTAATTATTTCTCTTATTTTATTATCACCCAATTCAAGAGTTACAAGATTTTTTAAATGTGATAAATTTTCAATACATTGAATCTTATTTGATGATAGAAACAATTTTTGTAAATTCAATAAATTTTCCAATCCTTCTATTTTTTTGATACGATTAAAAGATAAATCTAAAAGCCTGAAAATATATAATAATTTTATATTACAATTCATATATTAATATTATAAAAATATAAAATATTTTCATTAAGATATTGCTTATTATATATAATTATTTTTTATTTTGTTTATATATAAAAATATAACATACTCCAAATTTACAAGAACATCTAAGTTTTCTATAATAACAATCTGATTATCTCTTAACTCTAACTCAACCAAAGTTGTAAGTGTATCAAGATTCTCAATTTTCTTTATCAGATTCCATGTAAAACATAATCTACGTATTTTCCTCAATGGTTCTAAATTTTCTAATTTTGTTAATCTTGAATGATTGAAATCTAATTCCTAAAACATAATTACATAATTATTTATATAAAAAGCATATTATAAATTATAAATTGTTATTAATAAAGTTAATGAAAAAAATATTAAAAACGAACTTCACTATCAGGATCTATGATAAGAATCTTTTCTGTTTCCTCATTTTCTTCATTTTCATTTTCACCTTCAATTTCAGCTGAACCTTCACTTTTATTATCCTCTAAAACGTGAATATGTTTTTATAAATCTGTATCAACATCTAAATTTTTTTATATTTGATTATTGTGTTATAATAAACAAATATTTTTACAAACAATTACCATTATTTGCCATTATATCAAAATATAATTAATAATAATTTCAATAATGGAATTAATATATTCAGTTTAAAATTGCGTAATAAATTGTAATTAATTATACTGCCTTATAAAGATTTAGCATTAAATATAAAATACTACTGTAGTATTGGTTCGAATAATTTCAAATGATAGTAACTATACTGTAGTGAGTTCCATCTCAAAATGTGAATATAAACTATTATATTGTAAAAATGACAATTACACCGTATATGTTAAAACCGTATATGTAAAAAGTTTGTTCTTAATTTTTACATTTTTTACAATAAAATAAATATTTACAGAAAAATTATTTTTAAATTCATATATTTAAATAGAATTAAAAATTTAATTCTAAGTTTAATAATAAAAAATGAATATAAAGCTATATTATTTAATAAACGATTCTTTTGTTTTTATATTTTTTCGCTGTTTTGAAAACACTAGTTTTATATTATTTTATTATAGAAATATTTTTAATGAACGATAAGAAATTTTTATAAAACTTAATGAAAACGACTATTAAATATAGATTTCACGGTATTGATTTAGAAATATTAAGATCAATTCACATATATTTTTAAAAATATATTAAAAAATTTAATAAATTATACAAAAATATTTTTGTCACTAAATTTTGTTTACTAATTATTTTCATATTTAATAATGTCTCATTTAAATTAATTATAAAAAAAGATAAATATAATTTATAAAATTTTTACCTGAATTCTAGAAGAAATCTAGGGATTAAATTAATGATAAATTTGGTGATAATATTTTTATTTCAATATTTAAGATTTATCAAAATAAAGAAATTAATGTTTATTTAAATAATAATATTGAGCAAGAATTATATTTATATAAAATGTAATAAAATTAAAAGTTTGCTAAAAAGATATTAGGAAAATTATATGTTCATATTTTAATGATGTGTATTCCCTTTTATATATCATTGCCGCGTCCGTGACTTTGATCTGTAGCTAGTCTAGTGAAGATGGCCGAAAACAATGGCAGTGATTATTGAGCTAACTTTGCATTCTCCTAGTAATTGTCAACAAAGAAGTTATCTTTAATTAAAAAGTAACTGAAGCATCTAACATAGTTACACGTGAGTATGATTTCTATTATGATTGTCGTTGTTGCTCAAAATTTTAACCTTCTCATTTAATATAATGGTCATTTAACGCTATAAGAAATAGTAATTGAGCTTTTCATCTTTTCTTACTGTCATCTTGTCTAACATCGAAGAAAACTATTCGAACATTTTTTAGCATATTCGAAATATACTTTTCTAAAAATTTTCTGTAGATATTTAAGCATTTCTACGAACATTATATTCTTTAAATGTTTTTAAATTTCTACGATGTTTTAATGATTATTATCAAAATTATTTCATAAAATTTTAAGTTAATTTTTTTTAAAAACTTATTCTTTTTAATTTAATCTTTTTTGTGTATCCTTTAAAAAATATAATATATATTTATCATATATCATTCATATAAGATAACATCAGTAATAATTTTAAATGATATTATATATATATATATGTGTGTGTGTATATATATAAGATTATTATTAATTATTTTAATCTTTATGACTTAAAGCTTTACTTTATTATAAAATTATTTTCGTAAAAAATAATTTATTTTTCAGCTATTGTTTTTGTTTAATTTCTCAAAATTTTTACATTTGATATATAATATATCAATATATCATATAATATAAATAATAGAAAATATATATCATATAATATAAATAATAGAAAATTACTAAAAATTAAAAAATATAAATTTGAAATTTAAA